ACAGTATTTTCTTTGGAAACAGTAAACATTTAAAAATTGGCCAATTTAACAGCAAACACTAAAATTTATGGGCAAATAACACTAAACACTAAACCCCATTCACACCCTCATTTCTAGTTACTAACATGTTTATTAGCGCATCTCTCCTCTCCCTCTCACTTTCTTAAATGGTAGCGATACAAGAGGATTTCGAAGACCCGCATATCTTTGATGAGGATGATCTCGGGAATGATGATGAGATAATTGATATTTATAAACATTCATACTGATACATTTGTGTGTTAACTGTTAAAAGGGAAGAAGATACGCTTGATTATAACTACTGTAAGTTTTAACAAACGAAAAACTATTAATATTCATTTTAAGTTTCTATCAAAGATTTACCCGAAACAAAATTACACGTCCTTGAAAAGAAACTTGATAAGCGCCCCCGTCGATTAAGCACTCTCCTTCCAAAAAGTCTATCGCCTCCCCGTTTTAGCCTTGCACCCGATTCAAGGCAATTTGGTTGCCAAAACTCCATCTGGATGGTTCACCTTGAATCCCTTTATGCCTTACCCACGTGAGATAAACTGATAAAATTAGATTTTAACTCACCTTTCGGATACTCGTCACTGTTTATGTAATCTTTCTGTTCGTCAAAGAGGTCCTTACTGACGATGAATGCGATGTCCTTAAATTTAGAGTCATAATTTCCTGCGTCTGCGAATCTAAAATTTATTCGTTCCTTCTGGCATTCATTGCCATACTTGTCATTATTGGGCTTTTGACCTGTGTTGTGTTATAATCAAAGTCACCAAAAATAAGTTTACAGAGTGCCTATCATGCTACCATTCCTTAATGGCGACTACTTTTAAAACTTCTGACCTTCTTTACGGGGCCATACCACAGGAAACTCAGTGTGATCAAGTAAGAGCTCGTACAATACTTGACATTGACGTTTTGTGAAGCACAAGTGACAAGAATTTGTACTGACAGTTTCGTTCCACAAATATAGAAACAAAACTGAGGGAGAAATTCTTATCGAAGACGTCTTGCCTTTCCCGCTTCGTTCATACTTCAATGTAACTGTTGTATGTTTGAATATGGCCTTTCAGAGAAATTTGAGACAATTTTCTCTTCACTGGTTATAAACGATGCTCACATTACAAAAAAAAACGCTTGAAACACCTCTCTGTAACAGACCCAGCATGGAAACCCTACCTAGTGGTTTAGTGATAATTTAGCCTCCCCGGTACCTTGCCAATAGTTTGTGCCCGGCTACATTTTGCTTCCCCGGTCACTTTCTATTGTGACTTGTTGTACAAAACCAGTGTATTCCGTTATTCATAATTGTTTAAAAGAAACAAAAATGTAAGACATCATTATTCATTCAAAATATTTCTCCGTTTCGGATTGGATGAAATCCTACGCATAATTCATCATAACCAGCTATTGTCGACCAAATTTAGAAGAATTTTGCGATATGTGAAATTCAGCAAATTGCCAGACTATTGACCCGTTAACCGAGAATACCTGGGGACGAGGTTGAGTTGTTTTGGCAGTGAGAACAAAATGGCGGAACATTTCACTCGTTTCACCAGGAAGAAAAAGGCGAACTTTTGGCTAAAAACATAGCAAGAACAGCAAGAACACAACTCGAAGTCTAACAAAATCTGCTATTTGGAGAATATTTAAGGAGCTGAACAACCCTTTATCTCCTAAACTTGCCGATTAACGTGCACTGTCGAAGATGAAGTTAACATCGCTGGAGGTAAGCATTCTTTTTATTCTATTGTATCCTATTTTCAGTTCAATATTCCCTTTGTTTTGTATTATACATGTAACTGAGTAATTCACGTTATATTATACAACAAAAGTTTTTTAAGAACTGACCGGCCACGATCAGCCTTTTCTATCTGCGGGTCAAATACTTTTTAAACATTAAAATATGTTATTGTTTTTATTGTCTCTAATTTAACACAACATCGCAAGTTCCCATTCTCCAGCCGTGAATTCGCCGCGCCGAATTGGCTTCCCTGAAACCCTTAGCAGTAGCAACAGATAAACATTGAAAGTGTACGTAACGAATTAAGAATATTTCCAGAGAAAAGGCAGAGAAGACCACTGAGGAGCCCAATCACCCTGATAAGGGTTATTCAGAGCTATAAAAAATAATAATAAAAGTTATAATAATAATAATAAGAAGAAGAAGAAGAAGAAGAAGAAGAAGAAGAAGTTTTTGTTAGCAATCCGTCTAGTGATGGTTGCACGAGCAAACTACTGGTTAGTGGAAGCCTTAGGGCACAACCTCATTTTATGAGAGAATGTCGAATGTTGAATTTTACTCTAACGACGTCAACGAAACTGGAGGATCCGAAGGGTCGTCAACCTGCAGGTGTCCTGCTGTCAGACGACGTGAACCTGTTGGCATGGACGACTGAAGAGGTTGGCCAAACGACTGTTTACCAAACGACTGTTTAAGTGTTACATTAAGAGTGAACCAGAGAGGACAGGTCACAGAAAGAGACTGCTGAGCTTGTGGAAGACTCGTAAAACCAACGATGAGGTAACAGAAGTCACTGAGAAAAGGCTTGCAGATCACGTACGCCAGATTAAGGACAAGAAGTGGCTGGCGACTGTGAAACAAGAGGAAATAGCTTTGAGGGTAAATATTGAACACCAGCAGGTTGAAACTACGGAACCTAGTACCACAGAAACATTACATCACGTCGCAAGAACACCTGATATCCAAGAAGAAAAGTGCTGATAATATAAGAGCTGAAGAGGAACCCGTTGGTTCCCCAGCTGAAGAGCCACACGAAGAGGGTTACCCAGAACTCGATGTTTCGCGACAGGATCCAAGAAGTGCTGCGGCTAGATCAGAGAGTAGGCCCTCTTGATACCATGACTGAGGTCATGCGACACAGCAAAGTAAAGAGCAAAAATTGGAAAAGTCAATGGAGCCATCAAGAGAATTCAGACGCACAACATCACTGAACTGAATTCGTTACTGTATCCAGCTGCATACATGTACGTCGCAACAGAGAGAATGGGAATGAAGCGGAAAGAGAGGAAAGGAAAAAGAACAAAAGAGCCATTTTGGAAGAGAGAGATGGATCGAGATGAACATTGGTACTTGGAGAAAGGAGCTTAGTTAGATTGAGGAATTCTTAAGAGGACATATGGCTTTAAAACAAAGAGACAACAAATATCGTCTCGAGGAAATGGATACCATGTATGTTTCAGCTCTGCTGAGACTGAAAATTAGGGAAGGAGGTATTAAAATCAAGAGAAATGACGATAGATGCCAACAGTTCGAACAGAGCCAACTGTTTTCAACTAACCAGAAGGTGTTTTATGAAACCCTAGATGGAAAAGAACGAGGTGAAACAGAGTTACACGAACCCACCTTAGCCACCACCTTTTGGAGTGGGATAATGATAGACTAAGATGATGTAATCACACTACGTAGGACATAAGAAATGGAGTGAACAAGGTGGAAAATTGGAAGGCAGCAGGCCCTGACCTAGTTCAGAGTTACTAGTTTAAGAAACTGGCAGGCATTCATACTAGATTCCAAGAACACCTGCAAAACTGTGTTTGCCAGTCATAGAAGAAGAACAGTGTTGATACAAAAGGATCCAGCGAAGGGCAATCAGGCCAGAAACTATCACCCTTTGCCTGCCTAACCCATGGTTTGGAAGCTTTTGATGGGAATCATTGTAGAGAAGTTATACCGACATCTGCAGAGGAATGGACTATTAGTAAATGATGAGCAGAAGGGCTGTAGAAAAGGAAGCCGAGGAACAAAGGATCAATTGCTTGTAGACAAAACAGTTGTGAAAAACTGCCGGAGAAAGCTGACAAATTTATCAATGGCTTGGATAGATGATATGGTGCCCCCATTCGTGGATGCTGAAATGCCTGGAGATGGTTGGTGCAGCCATAAATATGATCTTTGTAATCAGCAACAGCATGGTGAACAGGCCCCAGTTGTTAAAATAGTGGATAGCGCTATCCGCTGAATAAATCTCTGTCCATCGAAAAACTCTACTGGTTTCCCTTATAATTACCCACCGGATAGTGATTTATCCTGTGGATAGGGCTATCCACTTTTTGAACAACTGGAGCCTAGAAGACAAAGTTGACATCAGGTGAAGTAGAGCTTCGGATAGTTGATATCAGAAGAGGAATATTTCAAGGAGACTCCCTGTCACCCTTGCTGTTTAACGTAGTCATGTTGCCCATGACCCTAGTGCTGCGAAAGAAGCTGGATACAGACTGGCAAAGGACATGAGACCCATCAATCATCTATTGTTCATGGATGATCTGAAGCTGTACGGAGCTATCAAAGACCAACTTGACTCACTTATTCAAGTGGTAAGGATCTTCTCAGAAGATATGAAGATGTCGTTTGGGCTAGAAAGTGCGCTGTCTTGGAAATTAGAAAAGGGGAGGGTTGACAGCAGTGGAATAGACCTATCCGATGACCAGCACATCGGGGAAGTTGAGGAGGGGGCCTACAGATATCATGGAATTTTACAATTGGACCAGACTCTCAGTGCTAAGACAAAAAGGCAAGATAACAGCAAAATTTGTCAGACGAGTTAAGACGCTGTGTAGATCAAAATCGAATGGTGGAAATCTTATTAGCCTCATCAATGCCTGGGGTGCTGTGTAGGTTTGGTACACTACAGTCCAGGTATCGCGGATAGGACTGTGGAAGAGCTGGTCAGCTTGGATAGTAAAACTAGGACTGACAGACACCAGTCTAGACACCAGTAACGATGCCAGAATGTATCTGCCGAGGAGGGAAGGGGCAGATGGATTGGTGTTGAGGAGTATGTAAAGAAAGAGATAAAGCAAATCCTTGCATGGTTACCTGAGGAATAGCACGGAGTGGATGCTGCAGATGGTTTTAATGAAGGAGAAGATCCTTGTTGAAGAATAGAATCTTCAGTACTAAAAGAGGAGAAGGAAAGAGGAGGAACTAAGTAACCAGAGAGGATGTCCCTGATATGGCTCCAAAATGTTGTTTTAAAAAGAAGATAACAGAGAGCTTTATCTTCGCTCCTCAAGAACAAGGTTTGAGAACAGATTCGGTCAAGTACAGCATAGATAAGACATCTGGGACACCACTGTGCAGATTATGTGGTGACGCCACTGAAACGGTATGGCATACTGTCAGTGGATGTAGGGAGCTTTCCCAGAGAGAATATAGGAAGTGCCACAACAAGGTGGTTCTACGAGTACACTGGAGGTATTATATTAAAAACGTATGGGTTAGAGTGTATCGAAAAGTGGTACGACCATCAACCCTTCCAGTTGCATAGAATAGACCAGTGAGCTCGGGGTATGACTGTCTTTACGAACAAGCGGCTGAAAACCTGAAGCACAATCGATCAGATATTCCACTAACTGTAGAACACACACAAGACACACGGGAATGAACATTTATCGACATTACAGTGCCAGCGGACCAAAAATAACATCCTTACTACCGAGGAGGAAAAGTCGGAAAGGTATCAAGACCTAGCTCTCGAAATTAAAAGAATCCACAGAGCCACGAGAGTAACAGTATAATACCCATCTTGATTGGTGCACTTAGAAGTATCTCGAAGAATGCAAACGCCTGGTACATATTTTATGAAGTGCACAGTTGTCAGCCATCCCCATACTTGGTACTGCTCATATCTTGCGGAAAGTGTTGTGTCTCTAAGCCGCGGGAAGCTGCTGAGACATGGCTGAGAATACCCAAAAGATACCAGAACTGGAGGGGATCACACAATAATAATAATAATAATAATACTAATAATAACAATAATAATGATAACAGTAATGATGATAATGATCATGATGATGTTTATGATGATAATAATCGATGGATCGGTCGATCGATTGATCAGTCACTAGTCACTATCCGAAGCACATGAAGAAGGGCAATATCCAAAGCAGGTGCTTGAACATGAAAGATCTAAAGCCAAAAATTCCATAACTAAGAATGCTACTAAGTTCAAAAGGGAAGTAACAATGCCAGAGTTTGAGAAGAGAGAAGTTAAATCAGCCTGAGAAAATGCTAAATACCTAAAACATATGTTCAAGTCCAAAATGAAGTCAATGAAAGAAGAAAAGTGGGAAAACAAATTTGCATTGCATGACCAGTATCCAAAGATCTTAGAGGAGCCTCATGTCGACACAGTCAGCACCAACAAAATGGTTATCAAGTAATCTGAAAAAAGAAACAGACGAGCCACTGGTAGCAGCTCAAGACCAGGCAACAAAAACCAAAAACCACCAGAAAGTAATATGTGGCAAGCAAGTGAAGAGCAATTGCAAAGTGTGTTCACAATAAGAAAAGACAGTGGACCATATTGTATCTGGATGAGAAGTATTAGTATAAACAGAGTACATCTCCAGGCACAATAAAGCTGCAGCGTATCGCCACTGGAGCATCTGCAAAGATCATAATATCGAGATTAAAGACAAATGGTACGAGCACAAGCCTGAGACTGTGATGCACAATAAAGGCAACATCACCATCATGTGGGACATGCGATTCAATACTAATAGAACTAAAACAGCGAACAGACCAGACATCATCGTTAAAGATTCAGTGAATTCCACCTGCAAACTGATTGATATGACTATTCCATCAGATGGAAACATCGCAATGAAGGAAAACGAAAAGAAAAGCAACTACAAAGACCTAGAACTAGAAACAGAGAATATGGCAGATGAAAACCGAAGTGATCCCTGTGGTTGTTGGTGCGCTTGACACAGTAAAGAAGGATATGGTAGAAAACATAAAGAAAGTATCAGAGAAAGCTAGTGTGACAGAGACCCAAAATATCTGCATGAATCCTCAGGCAGGTACTTAGTGTATGAACAGAATGATTGTCTTAAGTGACTGATGCTCCATGTCCATGGTTTCCGCCCGGCTGATGCACAAACAGAACACCAGCAAACACTGTGACGGAAAAGATAATAACAATAATATCAATATAGTTTGGTCAGAAACCTTGCCCCTAAAAACGTATCGATCATGAATCCTAAGAACCCGGCTAAAGATCGGCCCGGAGGGAAGATTCTTTAAATTCAAAATATTTGAAAAAAACACGTAAAATCTGCCTGAATCGAGAATTCAGATTTGGATTTTCCCTGAGAAAGGACTGAATTTATTTTATTTGCCGTTTTAAAACATTCTATTCAAATTCCAATTGCAGCATTCCACCATCTTACCTGGACAATTTTTTTTGTCCTCGGGGGTTTCGTGATTTGTATTTGTGACGTCGTCACAACCACCGCAATATGCCTGTATAGAGATGTTTGAATAGACCCAGTAATCGGTTCCATGCTGGCACGTCCACATAATTCTCAGTGTTGAACCCTTGTACAATTTCTGTTGATTTAGAAAATGACAGATAAACAAGTATTATTATACATCAGACTCACTATGAAAAATCTAATTGGTCGACAGCATTCAATCGATTCACAATAGCTTGTGAACTTGACATGATAAATGCAATATCTGCTGCAGATATTGCATTTATCATGTCAAGTTCAACGTCTGCCTGGTTACCAAGCCCCTTGGAGTGTTCTCCTCAGAAACATTTCCACAGATGAATGTCTTCTTTTGCCTATTGTTTAAAAAATGTATAATAAAACAGTTATTGAATTCGGTTTTCGCATGATATCATGAATTAACAAAACCTCGTGTCTGTATTATCTGCCTCAGCCTTCGGCTTCGGCAGATAACACAGACCTCGGTTTTGATAATTCACGATATCATGCTCAACCTCATCCAATAATTGTTTATTACCATCATGAATGAGGGTTCTCTTCTACTCTTCCAGAGAACCCTGGGAAGGAGGTTGCATTACGAAACCGTCTACAAACTGCGTGCAGACCAGGGTCCTCTCATTCAAACAGAATAAACTTAGAGCGACTAAGACGATTAATTTTCATAATTGCTCTATGGAAGAAGCGCATTTCCATAACCGGAGATGGTGTTTATCGACGAAATATTTTCAAAGACGCATTACCTTCAGTTTTTAGTTTACAGAATAAATACTTAATATCTTACTACTGATACTGTTTAGATATGTCTGTCTGGATTTGCAAAAAGGTACCTAGAGAAATTTCAAGTGTTTTTTAACATTTTAACACTTGAGGCGAATGAAAAACAGTTAAAAGTCGCTGGCTAGGGCTTTAAAACGACCACTTGATTGTTGGCAACACACGAAAAGTTGCTCTTGGCATGAGCGACGGGATTTAGCAATAAAATAAACATTTGAAAAGCACAGAAATTATGACCTTTCAGTCTCTTAAACTTATAGCAAGATGCCCGACAAAAACAGACCTAGAAGACCCTAGAATCCACCCTCCTTGAGCCGAGAATTGGTTTTCTAAGACAAAAACACATGCACCTAAACTAATCATTGAGGAAGCGTTTTTTTAATAAATACTTGTACACAATTTACTTGTAAACACCTGAATTTTGTCTGTCAACAATTTGAAGAAATCACACAATTAACCACTTTCGCGGCACTATCCACAACTAAGCACAATCTTTCCACACTTAATACGGGCGGAACATCATCAAATTACTCGGAGAAACTCTCGCTTTCTCTACGTAAAACACATGAGAACATTTCTCCCCTGAGAAAACAGCTGACAATTCTCGGTGCTACCACTGATTTTCCCACAAAATTACGTCTGAGACACGGGCGCAGATGACGCTTCATTACCCAGATTTGAATAGTGTTTCTGATTGGTTGAAGCAAATTTCCCACGCGGTACGACCAATCAGAAGCAGTATGGAATGTCTACGCTCGTTTCTCAGATCCCAGATGTAGGTAGACCAGCGTCTTGGAAAAGACAGATGAAGGGCTTGCCTTCAAAGCAATTTTCATTTTTTTTTTCAAAGCAAAGTCTGTGGGATGGTCAAAAATCAAAATAAATTTTACTCTCCCCGAATAAATTTGGCTCCTGGAACCTACTTTCTGAGGCCAGAGACTCTTTACCACCCAGTATCGATTACCTTAACGTCTCGTTTCACCCATGTAACCAAATTAGACAAAAAAGGGTAAGAAAGACTAAATGATGCCTTCAGGAAAACTTTGCTCCATGCGGTCAAGAAGAAATCTAGAAATTTAGCAGACCATAGAAGCCAAGTTCTAACGCTAGCGCTGATTTCAAATCACTGTTTTATGATACGGAGAGAATTATAAATGGGAAATGAACACGATAGCTAAATGAACACGATAGACTAGAACTGAACACATTGAAGGAGGGTTAAAAATAACTGATTTAGCTGGGAATGCCTTTTCAGCGGAGCACCATGGGTAAGAAAATGTGGTAAACTACCCATCCGAGAAAATTGGTAATCACATGACCGTACACCGACCGCCCGACCGTCCGTCCGCACAACAGGCATACCAATGTAACTCTCACACTTTCTAGCTAGGGAGCCCAGGAGAAATCTGATTGCACATCATTGTTGTGATCAATTGTCAGCTGTCCAAACAAGGTATCCGCTGACCAGTATCACCTGACGGTATCGCGGGCTCAGGCATCGACCCATCCAGGTCAACTACTTTTTTGAAGTTATCCGTTGACAAGTTACTAGTTTTCAAATGATCGAAGGCTCAAGTTTATATATTTTTTTAAATTCATATGAAATATGTTTTGTTTATGTCACTACGGCCCCGCACTATTAACATTCAACCAGTTATTTAAAAATACATGCAGGGAGGACAGATGCTTTTCACTTTTCTCACCATAGTCACCCATTGGTCACGCTCTACGGTCAATTTTTATGCTCTGATTGGTCAAAATTTGACAGGTGAATTCATGCGGAAGATTTATACAGCATCTTGAAACTTGTTTACTTTGACAGCTGAAACTGACAGAGTTTTGTGTCAACTTGTGATGTTTTTAACTGTCTTTTTCCACTGGATGGGCAAAATGAAATACAGCTGCTATCAAGAGTCTCCTGTTGTTCATGACATTCATTTGAATTGAATTTTTGGTTGAGAAATGCGCCGCTTCTCAAAGTCGGAAATCCGATTTCGGATGGCATCGTTTTCGTTTTTCGCCTTGCTGGATGCGTAAGAGGGTTGAAAAGTCTCAAGAGATTCTGGCACTACTTGATAGCTTTCAGGAGCTGCATCTCGAATGGTAAGCATGAGCCAATTCTTGTGTTTGCGTTTTTTTAATATCTAATTTCATGAAGTCGAGCGCACTTTATGAGGCTAGTTTACGCAAGTTTGTATTAAGATTTGAGACAATGATCTGACCTAGTATGAGGTTTGATATAAGCTTACAGAACCTTAAAAAGCCTTTATTCGATATTTTCTCACCCCAAACAGATGTGATGTATAAAAAGCATAAACGGATGGTTTACACGCACCCATATTTGTTGGCAAGATTTTGTAAAGTAAACTTGTCGAACGCAAAAAATTCGGCCTGGTTTGTTTTCCAAGAATTTTTTTTCCAGGCCTAATCTACTGTGAGCCATTATGGCTCTTAATTGTTATCGAAGATGATTGCTATTTTCTGGGTGTACATATAAGGCTATAAACAGTCAATGTAAGATTTTTTTCTCTCTAAAATCACTTAGCATTTCCCTCAAAAGTCACATATGTGCCCTTAGATTAAAACAAGAACGCGCTTACAGCAGCACTCAGTCTCGCCTGCTTGGAGATTAGATCGAGAAATGAGGAGGCGATTAATTCTACAAGAAACATAATTTACTCACTAAAGGTTTTTTGCTTCCTACTTTATCGACTTCGATACTTTTAATTTGTTCCTCAATTGATTTAGTACGCCCGTTAGCGACGACGAGAAAGAACCTCTGCGGTAGCAGGCTATACGCGTGTATAAATACACGAAAATTGAAGGGCCTCGATTCCAGAGAAATTACATCATTGCCAGATATCAAAAAAGTGATTAACGTGGCACGTCATTTCAATAATCGCCGAAAATAAATCACATGCTCATCACAAGAGCCATTTGCATACAGTTAAAGTTTCGACCACTCAGAAGTGTTCACTTGTTTCAAAGTAATCAACGCTTTCAAGCGATAGAATTCGTGGACCGACACGTTTCCACGGTCTTCGCAAGGAACGCCTGGCAGAATGACCTCCCTTTTGTGTCCTAAATACGACCAAAAATTCGGGGGGGGTACCTCCAGAAAAATTGGGTGGGGTGTGCGGCACGCTTCCTGAAACCCTTACCCTATTTCAGACCAAAATCTGTGATTTTCCCCACCCTATTTCAGACCTGATCCAAAATTTGATACCCTATTTCAGACTTGAAGCCCTCTAGCTCGGCGCGTGACCGGAGCGCGTGACAAGATGTTAAGGCACGTACACGGTAGTTGGCGTAAACATTAAAAGGGAAATGGTCTTATCGCTAAATAATGAAGACGTAGCTAATTCTTCTAAAAACATACTCAATTCAAGACTAGTTTGCACCAACCATACCCTATTTCAGACCCAAATGGTCGAAATTGATACCCTATTTCAGACCAAAACGGCTAAAAAAACATACACTTTGGCGCGGCTGCTGACCTATGGTTGGTTTTCACATGACGTCACGAAAATTCAAACTAAAAAACTATCGATCCCACCGAGATTTTACTTTCACGATGCATTAGAGCAGCTGAAAACTAATTTTCATACAAATTTTCGCTTCAAAAGGGTTCTTGGTTTTGTGATAGAGTACGCTTGAATTTCTAAGCTTTTGCGTGACGCGGCATTTACATGACGGCCAAGAGAGCTGTCATGTAGGTTAAAAAAATGACTTATTTCAGGAAATTTTGCTATCTAAACAGTTCATGTATTAGAAAAAGTATTACTTTAATGTTTATGAGTTTCTCGAAGAATAAATTCACGCTTTTGTAGCAAAACTCGGTAACAGATGTTTCTGTTGGTTTCCGTCCGCCATGTTGGAGCTCATCCAGGTGAGCACCAGCATGGCGTCTCCATACAAATCTCTATAAGTTTGGGTAAAACATTTCTTCGGATTTCTCGTATACGAAATATTCCTCTGACCTGAACCTTGGAGAGGGTCTTTGTATATGTACCTCCTTTCATTTCCCAGATTCTGGACTTTATCTATTGAGCAGTTTTGATTTGTATTTGGATCTATTTTGAATGGCGTGACACTGAAAACCAGCAATACTTAAACGCGTTGAAGATTATCAGTCTCGCTGCTTACGCAAGCGAGACTAACAAGGGTTTGGGTGGGGTCCTCAGTCTCGCTGGCTTACAAAACCTGGTCTCGGACATTCTTATTTAAGGATTTTCCTGGAAAACATGAGCCTGATTGCGCCGGCGAAAACAGAAGACAAGTTTAACTTACATGCATCTGGCCTAAATACTCCAGGAGAATTGAGTAGCCTTAATTGTCCTTTTTTATGGCTAGCAGTAGCCTTGACATTTGTCAGTAAATAGCAGTAATTGTAATTTAGTCTAAAGTTTTTCTTGCCACTCCTCATTTCCCGACAACTTGTCTTTGTATAGGTAATAGCATGATTTGTAGTGATATTTGGCATAAATACCACGAGTGATATTTCCAAATTGTTATACGTAATTGAGACAATTTTGAAATATCACGAGTGGTATTTATGCCAAATATCACGTACAAATCATGCTATTATTTGTTTATACTACTACCCGCAAAAGGTTTGTAATTTTCACATGTAGGTATTTCAAAATAAGCTGAAATACCACTGCTCTATAAGCCAATCAAATTGCAGAAATTTCTCATGTAGTAGTATAACTTACATAATGCATCTTAATTGCCCTCTAAAGTTTTGTATAGGGATTGTCTTCAATTTTCTTTTTTGGGAAGGCTGTAATAGCAAGGAGATCTTTGAAAAAAATATGGGAGAGGAGAGGGGCAAACAGGGTGTAATAAGGGAAATGATAAAATGGCAATACCACTAAAAATGAACAAATTGCTGAGATCTTCATCAGTTTTGCTTCATATTTTACTTTGGACAGTTTAGGACTAAACAACTGTAACAAGAATCAGCCTGGTTGAAGAAATGCCTCTCCAGCTACGATCGTGAAGTTCAGACTTTGAATGCCCGGTTTCTAACCCAGAGAGAAATTTCATATCATGGTTGACTTGTACACTCATTAATAGGGCCAAACTTTTGTGCATTATGTTTCCATTAAGTGATAAACCATTTTATTTTTTAAAAAATGATTATTATCCTCCGTTTCGTATATTAACTAAACCAAGTTAGTAAATTCGGACGTAATGACTTCTTAACTGGTTCGGTTTCTAATTTTTCCTCTGACAAGCTGATAATTCTCTTTATTTTATCGCGAATTTCCCCTTTTAGGCTTCGCTAAATTTATATAACCATACTATAAAAATTGTCTTACCCATGGAGTTTTTACATTGTATCCACCGTGATTGTTATTCTGCGTAGAATCAGCGAAAAGAGGATGTTAAATAATGGCTTATACTAACAAGTACTTCTTTAATTTAGTCCCGGGCGGTTTGTAAAAAGTGCTTCAAACAACCATCTAGTTTTAAATGAATTTTAAAGGCCAAATTCTTTGGCAATTCTTCTACCACGACCGATCCATGCCAGCCTCATCCAGCTTAATTTGGGGTTTCCTAAATGGTCTTGTAACAGCTACAATTTGGCACGCTCTGATCTCACCCTCTAAGAGTTAACCTTACAACGAACGACCTCAATAGAGAGAAGAAGTGTGAGGTCACGTTACCATGGTAGCAAAATTTCTGGATTACAACAATAGGGAGCTAAGCATTTTATACTATTATTAGCATTATATATATAATTGTGTTAAGATACTTACAGTAAAGAAGAGAAGTATTATATCAAATAAATTTTGAATAATGTTAAATATTCATATCTCCGGGAAATCCGTGAAATCCGTATTTTCCGCTACTCTTTTAAGAGTCCTTTTCAAGCAGTCAGTCATGACCGCAAGTTATCTTATTAAACATTTATGTCTCCGGGAAATTCGTTGAATCCGTGTTTTCCGTCATCACGTAAAGTCTGTGTCAGTTAGCAGTCAGTCATGCCTGCAAGTTTTATCATTAAACATTCAAGTCTTGAAATCCGTATTTTCAGCTACTCTTTTTAAGAGTTTTTCCGTCTATGAAATTCACCCGAGCGGTCAATCCTTAATGCATTTCTTTTCCTTTCAAAGAACTTTTCACCACACACGGAAAAGATGGATTTTACGGATTTTGTGGAGCCATGGAGCTTCGAGTTCGTACATTTTCTTTTTTTTTTCGTTTTAGACAATTGGTTTTTACAGATTTCCTGGAGACATATAGCTTCGGTCGAGTTTAAGTTCCTCCTTTAGCATTACAGAAACTACTTTTACTGAGATGCAAGCATCTTTCAGTCTCAAAAGGCAAACTAGAGGGATTAAAATCAAGAAGAAAGGTCCGTTGTAAAAGAGCTTGCACTCTTTTAAACAGTTCTACCGATAAATAAATTTCACCACACACCGAAAAGATGGTTTTTGCATATTTTGCAGTATTACAGAAACTTCTTTTAAAAAAGGTCCGTTGAAAAAAAGCTTGAGAAATACAATAATTTCTTGCCTTTCATTATCAAGTTCGCTCCTAATTAATGGTGACACTAAATGCGTCACATCTTTTCGGTCGTTCCTTTGAATTATTGTTTGAGGAAAGGTACGGTGCCGGCCGCTACCTGGAGTGAATGACAGTTTCGATTTTTTATTTTAAAAAAATTCGACTACCTAACAACTTTATTTAAGTATCAGAACAATAAGTAATATTTTCCAATCTCAAATTATATCGTGTTGTTTGCAAATCAAAAACCAAATATATGACAACAATGCTAACAATTAAAATCCTATTTACAATTAATTCGCTTGAAAAAAGAAAGGAAAAAAACTATTCATTAAAAATATTATTTACAATTCCTGTCGATTTAAAAAGCACTCAGTTGAGCTTAGAAAGAATTAATTTAACTAAGAAAAATTTATTCGAATTAAAAACATTTCATTTCAATTAAAAAAATAAAAAATAAAAAAAACCCGTCAAAAATCTAGGCCTAATGGCAGTTTTGATTGCATTGTTTGAGCGTCCGACAAAACAAGCCAGTCATAATAGAGCGATTGTATTTTGTTTGTGTTCAACTTGCCCTGTAAATTACACCAGAACGTCCTCATTGTCTTGCGCTAGCAACAGCGATTCAGGCTTTAAAGAAACGTGCAAAAAGGAACGCCCTTTCTGACGCTCATTTGATAGTTACATCATCCCCGGACAAGTCTTCGTCAACAAATTTGACTTCAAAACATGACAAACAAACTAATGAATCATCTTTCACAGTTATTCATCAGCACGTCCAAAACAGAGCCAACAAAAGGCTAAACTTTCAAATTTATTCGTCAAAATTTCACAGCGCTGATCCACTATGTAAACACCGCACCCATGCCACAACATTTGTGCTACGAAAGAAGAATGCAGCGAACAAGACAACCATGTCGACAGCTCAACAGCGAAGGTATCAAGAGCACGGCCTTGTGCTACCTAACGCCGGTAATAAGGGTAAGGTGTCGCATTATCAGCGCTAAATGTGTTTCAAAGTGAAGGATAAGGCCTTGCCAAAAGCGTGGGCAACTGTTTGTGAAAAACAAGGTGTGTGCGACCGTGCAATATCAGGTTAATATTTATTGCAATGCGCCGGTTTCAAATTAGGAGATGCGATTTTTAAAGCAAAAACGAAATGAATTCTGGTAGTTTTCAAATGTCGCGTGAAAAAATGCGCCGGTTTCAGATGCGATTTTAAAGAACATTTTCCAGTTTACTGCAGATATCCACAACGTGTCATTTTTTCTTTAGCGCTATCGCCAGCCAAGAGAAAAAAAGGCAATATCAATGAGAACACAGACGAGGAGAGCAGTTGTGAAGATGAAATTTCCAGCTCTATTTCTCAATAATGGCTCCAAGGCAATTTAACGAACGTAAACAAATCCATCTGCCCTGCTTACTAGGTCGCGTTGACTACAGTAAACGGTGCGCCCACCAGCCCAATTTCTGTGCACAAAGCCCTGTTGAATTCAGGACTGGACGTCACAGCAACACAGGTAATTAAATTATTTTCTTACTTTTTGACAACCCAAGCATTTCCTTAGCCGTGAACAAAGTATTCAATATTGAGAAATAAAAAATGAAGAATCAGAGTAAGCGACTTTTCTTCTGTTTGTCCTTTAGATAAACACTAAATTAAATTTGGTTCCAGGTTTTGTCCAAAACGGTTTGCTCCAAACTCGAGAATAAAAAACAAACAGGCAATGAATGACCCTCTCTTTATTCATTTAATTCTTTGCTAGCATTTAATATTTTTTCTCTTCTCGGTTGCTTTGAAAGAAAACCTAACAACGACGACTGTACTTTTTTCTTGTGGCACTGCCATTATCAACTTGAATTTTTTTGACAGGGAATGATTTGTGTCGTAACAGAAGTAATTCTACTGTAATTTGAACTCAGTTTTCAATTGTTTCCGTATTTTCTTCTAATTGAAAAAGTGCTTGTCCCACGGACAAGTCATGTCAAAGGTTTACATGTCCAAACTGAATTTCTACCTGTCCCGGAAAATCGGACATAGGTTTTGGTGCACCCTGAATTTGTTGTTAATAATAGTAATGATGATAATAATGATAATAATAAAGGACGCAAGCGGTCAGTCAGTTCTGAGAAAGAGGAAACGTAGAACCGTCTTTGGTAAAATGCTTCAATTTGATATCCTTTAGGTGCAGTTTCAAGAGGAAAAGGAATCCCCAGCCCATCAGAACTTTGCAAAGTGTTGAAAGATCGCAAAAATCCTTTCATGCAAGATCTCGTTAGCTCGTCCTTCAAACGCTGTTACCAAGACGAAGAGAGAAAGGTTATCGGCCATAACGGATTATGCACCCAGGAGTTGGACGATTGTGGAACTGAAAATGTGGTGTGAGTGACGCTGGTTAACCCGAAATTTCACACGTCGTTACTGAGTGCAGTCGAACTTCTCACTGCAGCTAAACTACAATTAGACAATTTTGGCTTTGAGTCCAGCACGACAACGTCTTAAGCTTCCACCAGTAAGCTAGCCATAACGTACGATGAGGATAAGATGCTGTTGGCGGATAAACTTGCGATCCTCGTTAACGATATAGCAATCGCCATGGGAAAACTGGGCTATGCAAGCGATCGCGGCAAAGTCTATAAAGAATGACCAAGCCAGATACACGTATTCGTATAAATGCGAGGCAAGAGCTTTCGTCGACACCCTCGCCACCAACGAGTTCTTTAAGTCAAGACTTCTTGGCGAGATGAAGAGAGTGACCTCATTGAGGTAACAGACGGCCGCTGTTGGCCCATCAGCCGGCGGGACTTTGTTGACGGTGCCATTGAGGAGCAACAGGTGGGAAAGATCTCACCGAGAGCATTTTGGTCCTTCGACTCTGCAAGAGATCCTGACCCAAAGTACTTTCGAGAAGTCTTAGAGAACAGCCTAAGCCCGCAAGAGGTGGCGACGTTCTGTGGCGATTTACTAAATCTGCTTCTCTACAATAAAAAACAAAACAAAAAGACAGAGTGCCGTGTTTGGTAGGCGATGCCAACAATGGAAAGACGAGTTTGTTCATGCCCATTCTAGGCCTCATCAAACACGGCAAGGTGGCCACGGTGACAAAGCAGAAAGCGTTCAATAAATCAATGATAACGCCCTTCACCGAAGTGATATTCATTGACGAAGCCACCGAACGCACGCTTGACATTGACTGACTCAGGGTGGGTATGCCGCCAACGGCGTGAAATATCAAAGTGCCCGGGCATTCATCAACCGCTGCCCTATGCTGATCACCTCACAAAGAAAGCTTGAGTTCGGTCCCGCCGATCAGCCTGCGATGGAGCGGAGGCTAAGAACCTACACCTTCAGAAGCCTGCCCCGCCCAAAAAAGAAGGCGTCCAACTGGTTGAGAACGCATCCCATGGATTGCGTCCTATGGGAAGTGCAAAAGGCAAAAGAGGCTGAGAACGAGGACGAATCGAAAGACAATAGCGACGAGAATACACAGGAGGAGGAATCGACCTTTGCCGAAGGTGTGCTGCGCGAAGAAGAGAAAAAAGATATTAGATCAATGTCACTGCCGGTGCTTTTGGCCAAAGAGATAACAGCGGTCGACATGTCAGACAAGGAGAGTCCAGAGGACGAGAGCGACGGCGATACAGGTTCGTCCTCATCCCCACAGGCAGATCGTGTGGCGCGTTTACGAGATCTCCGTGAGAAGACACTGCCGGGTTGCCTGCGCCACAGACACCTCGCGCAGATGGTGAGGACGGAGGAGCACAAAAAGAGGGAAGAAGAAAGGTCACGAGCAGAACGACGCATACAGTAGGCAGGACTTCCTTCGCTCCAGTGGCATGTCAAACGCGAACTTGAGCCTGTTACCCGACTGCCTCGACGATCCCACTCTCAGTCCAATTGCGAGGGATCTCAAGCGGTATGACCAAGCACGGGTAGCGGCCGAAGAACAGACTCGTCAAGAGGCTGCCAGAGAAGCGGTTCAGGGAACTTGGTTGAGATCCACCGAGAAGGATTTAAAGAGATGCTGTGAACGGTACCAGGCTAGCGACGAATCCTCAGAGCGTTCCACGTTGAAGGCCTACATAAATGCAATTGACAGGAAAACTCGGTGACCATCACGTGTCTCTGGGGACGTTTGGAACTGGAGATGCTGTGGCGGAACGGAAGAGGGTGTGCACGCTTCTCGGCCTTCTGGACCAGCGCCAACAGCACCTAGTCACGAGTGTAACAGAGAGACTGCTACTTGCCAATCAGGACGGTAACGGTGTTGATGCCGAAGAAGAAGAAGAAGAAGAAGACCTGAGTATTTTCGTTGACACCTATTCCAAGCTCAAGCGCTAGACAGCCGCATCCGAGTACACGTTCAGACCGAACCACAACCACTGAAGCCAGTCAGCGCAAGCGTTCCTCCTCAAGCCAGCGAGTTACGAAAAATCATTGCCAAAGCAACAAAAAAAACATGTACTTCTCAAGTCAACAGTAATTGATTTCTTCTTACAACAACAATAAAATGTTGCTTGTCATGCACTGAGCCATATTTCTGATTGCCTTTGTCGTTATTTATATTTCAAGGACATCTTTTTATTCTGGGGTAAATGTAAACTTTTAAGATAACTTAGAAAGTGATCCGAATCTTCGCGCTGCACGGCTCAGCAGTGAGTTGGCTGTCCTTCCCTCTTGAAAACGAAATTCGGGATTCCTGAGAATCGCTTTCCATTGATCGTAGCCGTGTTGCTCGATGCCTGCTTTCAGATAATTGTCTTCTTCAGGGGTGAACATCAGACTCTTTTTTCTCGCCTGGAAATCTGTGACTATAAACGCATTTTCCCGCATTATTCTCGGGACACCTGAAAAAACGCGCGGGTGGTGTTTCTGCGATCGTTTTCTCCCTCGTCGTTAGAGGAAGTATCAGTTTTGCTACCATTTTGATCTTCAGATGACGCAGAATTGCTTGAAAGCCTTTAGGGCACGTCTATTTCTAGCTCTGATCCCTTTTCCCTATGCAATCGTTCCAAATATTTATGTGCTTTGCTCGCCACCTCGCGCGATCGCTGCTTCTGATAGTGAACCCTTGCAACAACAGAGCTATGTTTCTGGTCCTCGGAGATTGTGCTCTGTGCGCTGCTGCTCAGCTGCCTGGAACTCGCGGTCTCCACAATCTGTCGATAGCGAGTGGGGTGAACGTATTTGTCCGTTGCATCGAAGACCAGTTTACTCATTAGCTCTCCCAGCTTGTTGTGCTGCCCTCCATTTCTTTTCACCAACACAAAGTCACAGGTCGATCTGAGTAGTGGGCGAATGTGGTTGATGTAGCCATCAAACACTTGCATGCTCCTCTCAGTCAGGTAAAGAGAATCGAAGCCTAGTTTCCATCCATTTTCAGGTCTATAAATCCACCATTAGTCTTGGCTTTTTTCACCATTTCCACTGTTAAGCACTGATGTGTAATGGGACGCGAGCCCTTGACCTTGATAAATAAATAAACGGACAAAAATTTGGCAGAAAAACATAAATCTATGGGCAAAACAGCACCCGGTTTCTCCTTGCATGATTTCAGCACGCTCTCGTAGCGCGGCAGGTATCGCCCCACGACTTCCAACAGTTCTTCAAGAGTGGCCAGTGTCCCTTGGCTTCTAAGGCATCGATGTCGAGTTCACTGGTTGACTGTTATAACGTACTGCATCATTTTGGAAACGATTTTGCGCACCTTTTTCAAGTAAATTTCAGTTGAAGCCAGTCCCCTCAATACTGATTGCGTTGCCTCCATTCACTTTTCGATAATCCACCAATTCTGCAATGGCATCTAAGTAGCCAATGCGTCCTGCGTGTCCCAGGTTCCAATCATATTGCATCGTATCAACAAACTTAAAAAGAAGATTCGGTGAACATAAACTAAAGTCCATGATGTCAAACTTGAGCTCGTCTTCGTCTTCACAAGAAAACTTGAGAAACGTTAAGCACTTGCTTACGATCTGTTGAGCCCCAACCACTGCCAGTTAGCCACGGAAAAAAATTCTTGGCAGTGTTGTCTGTGGGGTTAAAAGAGGCAATTGCCCTACTTTTACGCGGTGTAATCTTCTGATCTCTGGCTTCGCAGTTGTTGTTTTGATCGACATGAAGCGTATCGATTTGCGCACTGTCTGGCTTCTCGTCGAATAGTACCATATAGGTACTAACTGTGTTTGCTCTTTACGTGTTTTCTACAGCCTCTTTGGTTAGTGAATCCATCGTGGTTACAAAGTTTCACTGGGCAGTTTAAAAGATCATCATAGTCATCCTCTTCTAAGAGGTCTCTTTGGTTTAGAAGATGCATTTGCTAACTTTGACCAGCTGACATCCTTTCCTCGTTTGTTTATCTTAAGCATTAGCTTGAAATCGATATCTTTCTAAAGCATGCACGCACCTATACTAGCAAAAGGGTCCCCAAGAGATCATCCTATTCGCTAATGAGATATTTGTCAGCCCATCTCTGCCCACAGTTGGTCATTCTTGCCACATGCTCCATTGTTTTCTTGTCTGTATTTGGTAAACAATTTCTCAAAAGGGACAAAGGCACAAGCCTGAACTTGCGCGTTCAAGTCTCGTACTTAACTTGATTGTTGAAGGATATATGTTTTGATAAATTTGTATAGCGGAGGTGATGGACAGTAGTTTCAGATAGCCTACGTTAAATAGGAACTATTGTTCCCTATTCTTTTTTACACTTTGCGCAAAATGGAGCGCTAGTTCCTTTGTTACAAATTCGGAACCTGTCCCCATTTGTACGCGGAACATCACCCTCATCTTGAGGAACAAAAAACCACCTCGATTAGGAACAATTCCGTTCCTGTTGGGCATGAATAGGAACAATTTGAACCGAAAGGGAACATGGCGTTCCGAACAGCAGCGGATATGCCAGTAAATAGGAACAATTTGTTCCTTACTGTGTAGAACGAGAAATTAGATTGGGAACATTTGTTCCCCAATCAGCTCGAAAGGAACATGAAGAGAAATCGGAACTGTTGAAAGAGGACCTTTGTTCCTGAAAGGATAAAAGAGGAACCAGTTGTTCCTTTTGACTAAAATGAAAGGGAACTCGGAGTTCCAATTTGCTGCTAACGGACCAGATTGTTCCGAAATTTGCCGACCTTTGTTCCTATTGGGCAAATAAAATTCCTTTATTGTGCGTTCCTAGGTTGTTCCTAAAGCAATTAAAGGAGAAAAAAGCAAAAACGCGCCAACACTACATTTTTGAAAAAGAGATGTTTCCTCGTGTGCCGTCACTTAAAATCCAATTTTGAAATTTTCGTCATGTAAAAAACAGCCTAACAATACTAAGGACAAAAATGTGATTGAAAACAACGGTGTTTTAACCTGAAATGTTGCTATCATTACTTTTGGGGAATGTATATGATGATGATGATGATGATGATGATTACGATGATAATATTCTCGGCGGGGGTTGTGATTGTAATTCTACCTGGAGTTATGAAAACCGGGTTAGCAAACACTTTGTAATCTTTCTCAACTTCCCCTGTCTAATAGCTTGTTTACTGTGTTGTTTGCTTATGTTGTTATTTTTGCTTGTTTTGTGGTTAGTGATTTGTGTAGAAGTGCATGTAGACGGAATTATTATCTTACCCCCCCCCTCCCTCCCTCCCTCACTATTTTTTTGTCTTTACTCACAGTTCTCTCTTTAACACAACTGACAGTTATTTGAAATCAGTGCACGCCTAAAGCTGGTTTCGGTGCCGTTTAGCAGTTTACGTTTACAGTAACATACTTATAGATATTGGTCACCTTGAGAAACGTTTCCCGGAGAGCATCATGTAAAGCTCTGAGATGGGACAATTTATTACGATTCTCTTTGGCCTCGGGAACACTGAGGCTCTTAGGAGTGAAATGAATTACGCGAGAGCAAAATTGCAGGTGAACTTTAACCGAGGGACTCTACATCCGGGAACTCGAATAAGACGAGTGTAAGAGAAAAGTCCAGAGGTGTTTATCTGCCGATAGGCTGAGTTTTTCCGAGTTATTCGATGATATTTCGCTTATGTTAAACGTGAGAAGACTATGCGTGGTTGTGGATAGTCTTATCAGTGCCGCGAAAGTGTGTGATTGTGTGATTTCTGCATGGTGTTGACAGGTATGTGATCGCATGGTTGAACTGCAGTTTCGCCAAAATATTCTGTCCCAGCCATTAATATTGTTTCGTCGGTGTTTAGCTCAGCTTATTGTACCTTGGAAAAGCAACTCTCGACTTAAAAAAATTGGATCTAGGTCTAGTCTCAGCGGGTTCTAATGGCATTGAACCATAGAGCGGTTTTTGCAGATAAGAAGGTGATAATTTGTGCACCATATTTCTTTCAGTTTGTTGTCTGTTCCATGTGAAATCCTGTTTTTTATAGGACCGCGAAAAAAGAAGTGTTTTGCTAACTATTTAAGTTGCTATGTAAGCCTTAACCAGGCACTCTTTCGCTAGAGTTCACTCAACTTAAAAATTTATAGACTGAAATGACACCGGTTGCAAACTTCGCAAACTTAAGTCAAATTACTGAATAAATGTTCTAAAATTTTTCGTCATTTTAAATTTGGACTCGTTGGAATGCCTCTTGGGACCATTAACTTACTGCCCGGCGTCAGATAAAGGCATTTAATCGGGCTTTGAATGAGTTTTATTGTTTTAAATTGCCAAGTAGTAGAATGAGTAGCCTGAGTTCAGACCCAATTTTAACCATTTTCATACATTCTCTCTGACGGCTACGGCTAAAATTGAGCCTGATACAAACTCTCTCATGTTTGTGCTCACTGCGGCCAGATTTTGGCCGTAACGCTGACTGGCTGTTGGAATAATGCTTGAGGATCTGATTGGCTGTTGAAATTAACGGAAGTTGAAAGCGCTTATTCCTCGCGTGGTTGTTTTCGTGAATGATCCGCGGTCGGCCGAGAGAAAGGTGGATCTTGCTGTCTTTTTTATTGTTTTATGGTCTTATGGTAGGAAAATATGCCTTAATATGTGCCACAGAGATTCAGAAAATTCATATGGTTGTTCATATCTTCTCAGGATTTGCTTTATTTACGGAACTAATGTGATTGTATCGCGGAGTTGAATCCCTCTGCAAGTTGTTGACCGCGAACAAGGTGCCTTTTGATTTACCAACAAACTACCCTCCCACGCAGGCGTTTTTAGGGGAGATCGTTTTTCATCCCTCCCCACAAATGCCTGCTCAACCGAAGACAACATTCCTTTCCCAAGCTTAGCCAATCACATTGTACTTTCCAAATTCTGGAAAGTTGACCTTGACCGCAAGGTAATCTTATAATTACTCGATCTGCATTAAACACTGGGAAAGCTTTCTGAC